GCCGCCAGCCTTGCTGCGATCTCGGAGCCTGGGCCATGGGGGAGGGCCCAAGAGGTGCTCCATGCACCTCATGGTGACCAGTCGTTTGGTCGTGACACCTCTTGGCCTTTTATTATTATGATAGAATTTAGGAACAAGCAGATAACACTTTGTTTTGTTTTTTTTGTCAACCAAAAGCCTTCCTCCTTTTCTCACAACTTAAGAGTTTTATGCCAATACAAGCAGGAGACTAGCATTGGTGCCAAGCCCTGTGGTGGGCACTGAGACATGTTCCCTCCTTTCGTCCTCACGGTGATCCTAACGAGGACTCTGCTCTCTCCTCACTACACGGATGGTGGACTGAGGTTCAGAGGGGGTGACAGCTTGCTGAGGTCACAGCCAGAAGACGGTCATGCTTTTCTCCTCACACAGGTTCCAGGGAGGCTCGAAGTTGCCTTTTCATTCCTCCCAGTGAGAAAAGCAGCAAAGTGATATCACTGATATACTGTATATAAACCAGTGGGTACATTCTAGAATGTGATTTGAAGAGAAAAACATCTTTAAAAATATATTTTTGCCTGGATGGTGTGAGTCGGTTGGTTGGAGCATCGTCCTGTGTGCCTGAAGGTCACAGGTTCATTTCCTAGTTAGAGGACATACCTAGCAGGTATGTATCTCTCTCACATCAATGTTTCTCTCTTTCTCAAATCAATAAAAATATACAGTTACCAAAATTCATCAACCAATACACTTTTTAAAAAATATATATTTGTTTTATTGACTTCGACAGGAAGGGAGAGGAAGAGAAAGACAGAAACATCAATGATGAAAGAATCATTGTTTGGTTGCCTCCTACACGCCCCACACTGGGGATCAAGCCTGCAACCTGGGCCTATGCCCTGACCAGGAATTGAACCTTGACCTCCTGGTTCATAGGTCAACGCTCAACCACTGAGCCACACCTGCAGGGCTCAACTTATACACTTTGTGTGAATTGTACTGTATCACTTCCATAAAGCTAGAAAACAATACAACAAAACAAAAAAATTCCCAGACAACACTGCATGGAGATCACAGAAATATATACAGCACAGACCCATTCAGAATCTTGTAGGCCTCCCTCCTACACAGCTCCAGACACACAGTACCTATTCAATAAATTGAAGTAACTAAATCAGTTATGAGGAAACGCCCAAAAAAGAATTTTCTGAGCAGGGCCCAATGTTCCCATTAATACATAGGAGTCTCACTCTAACCGGTTTGGCTCGGTGGATAGAGCCTCAGCCTGACGACTGAAGGGTCTCAGGTTCAATTCCGGCCAAGGGGCATGTACCTGGGTTGTTGGCTTGATCCCCATTAGGGGTCGTAGCTGATTGATGCTTCTCCCTCATCAATGTTTCTAACTCTCTATCCCTCTCCCTTCCTCTCTGTAAAAATCAATAAAAATATATTTCAAAAATAAATTAAACAGTAAATAGGCCCTAACTGGTTTGGCTCAGTGGATAGAGCGTCAGCCTGTGGACTGAAGGGTCCCAGGTTCGATTCTGGTCAAGGCCATGTACCTTGGTTGCGGGCACATCCCCAGTAGGGGGTGTGCAGGAGGCAGCTGATCGATGTTTCTCCCTCATCGATGTTTCTAACTCTCTATCCCGCTTCCTTCCTCTCTGTAAAAAAAAATCAATAAAATACCTTTTAAAAAAAAATAATAAAATAAATAAATAAACAGTAAATAGGAGTCTTGTGTCCTTCTGGAAGAACCCAAGGGACAGAAATAGACACAAACCTAAGGAGAGAAGGGTTCCCTATTTGTCTGCCCCACCCCACGCCATAATGTGGCTCAGAATGATGAATTATAAAAGATACGATGAGAATGAGGCAGACGTAGGCGAACAATAGAAGCTAAGGGTGGAAGTCAATTGCATGTGTGTGTTTTTTTAATTTGTATCTTTTATTTATTGAATTTATTAGGGTGGCATTGGTTAATAAAACTATATAGGTTTCAGATGTATAATTATTTTTAAAACATTTTACTTATTGATTTGAGAGAGAGAGAGAGAGAGATCTCTTTGTTGTTCCACTTATTTATGCATTCATTGGTTGATTCTTTTTTTTTTCCAAAATATATTTTTTATTCATTTCAGAGAGGAAGGAAAGGGAGAGAGACAGAAACATCAATGATGAGAGAGAATCATTGATCGGCTGCCTCCCACACAACCCATTGGGGATCGGCCCCACACTGGGGATTGGGCTCACAACCCGGGCATGTGCCCCTGACTGGAATCGAACCTGGGACCCCTCAGTCCGAAGGCTGACACTCTATCCACCGAGCCAAACCAGCCAGGGCTGGTTGATTCTTGTATGTACCCTGACTGGGGATCAAACTTGCAACCTTGGCGCATTGGGACCACACTCTAACCAACTGAGCTACCCAGCAGGGGCTCAGGTGTACAATTCTATAATACATCATCTACATATTGTATTGTGCGTTCACCACCCCAAGTCAAGTCTCATTCCATCCAATTGCAGGTTTTTTCAGACCAGTTCAATGTTTTCAAAAATTCTGAATGAGTTGCTTTAAAATTAGATTTCACACATAAACCCAAATTTCTGGCTTCTCTTGAAAAGCTAACCAACCTCCTGCAACCCTGGACTCAATTCCCAAATGGCCCTATGGGTTGGTGCCCCCTCCTGTGGAGTACTCACCCTCCGCAACCATTTGTACCACTTGCAGCTCACCCCTGCTGAATGTATTGCTCCTTGAAGAAATCAATTAGGAACTAGATAATGACTGGGAGAACTCTGAAACCAGCTGGGAACTTCATTACCCCACTCCTATTGGTTATCTCATTAACCCTTTCTGTTTTCCTGAATTAAGTGATTGGCAAAGAACTCAGCAAAGGACTGGAGGGAAAAAGGGAAAGAGTTGCTGAGGCCATTGGGTAAAATGATGCACCCAATCTTAAGAGGTAAAAGAACCCTAAGTATAGATTTAAAGAGGAAAAAGATGCATTACGGATTCCGTGGGGCCTGGGTCAGACAAGCAAAATAAGTTACCCAGAGGCGGTCCCCAAATGGGGTTCTAGAAGAAGACACTGGCAGCACGTGGCTGATCTAAAATGTTATTTTTGTTCTCGACACTAGGCTGCCTCACTGTGGGTATGCCGATATGAAGCTGATGAAAATCTTGAACTGGCTTGGTGAGCTTGTGAAGAGCCCAGCTGGCGTGGCTCGGTGGTTGAGCATTGATCTATGAACCATGAGATCACTGTTCGATTCCAGGTCAGGACACATGCCCAGGTTGCGGGCTCAGTCCCCAGTACGAGGTGTGCAGGATGCAGCCGTTCAGTAATTCTTTTTCATCATTGATGTTTCTATCTCTCCCTCTCCCTTCTTCTCTGAAATCAATAAAACTATACTTAAAAAGAAAATGTGAATAGACTAAGGAAGTTGCTATTGTTATTTAAAGTGATGATAAGAATATGGGCCTAAAATATCCCAATATAGGACAATAAAGACACACTGATACACATACCGCTCCTTCTTCACCAATGACATTATTCTTAGAGCACAGGCCCTCCAACCACGCACTGCCCGCCCCTCAAGGTTTCCTTCGATGCTGTGTGCCGAGTTAGATTATACTCAAAGCCCATCCTGGGAATCATCCAAAAAGTGACTGTGCATACCTCTACACTCCATTGTGGGTTGATTTTAAATTTAACGCCTAAGACACATTTTATTTCCTTTAACCTGACATCTTAAAGGGGTGCCTCTCTATACCCCTCAAACCCTGCCCTCAACTTACTGAATCTCATTGTCAATTAGAAGTGGTTATTTAAGGCTGTGCTCCTCAAACTTCAAAGTATAAAATCACCGGAGCATTTTGTTAAAATGCAGACTCCGATTCATTAGCTCTGAGGCGGGGCCCGAGGTACCGCAATGCTGCTGGACCAAGGACCAAGGCTCTAACGAGAATCTGGACATAAAACTCAATCTGCTACCGTATTTAGGTTCTGTTTGTTAGAGGATACATAATTTAATAGGTCACTAATATTTAATTTGCCTATAAAACCAAAGTTGCTAAGTAAACACACAGCAGTCCAACCACCAGAAGAGGCAAATTTCAGGCCAGCTTAATTACATCTTTCCGAAATTCTAAGACAGGCACAGAGCAATAACCCTATAAAAGGAACGTCGAAATTCTCAGTAAGACAGGCACAGAGCAATAACCCTATAAAAGGAACGGAGTTCAAAAACTCATGGGACTCATATCTACTACTCAAACTGCTTATCATCAGCCGGCTGGCACTATGCAGTGGTTGTCCCCACTTGAGGGGTGTTCACCGAAGTATCCAAACTGCATTCTGTCAAAGAGTCATTCATTAATTCGCTAATATCCAACACCTACTAAGTGCCAAACCTTAAAGGAATAGCAACATGGAAATCAGCATTCCTTTATTAAAGGAATGGAGTCTTCTATACCATCAAGGTTCAAAAACTCTTAACAAAAGGAAGATAAACAATCCAACCAGAGAGTTTTTGAACCTTGATGGTACAGAAGATTCCCTTCAGCCCATTTTAAAAGTGACACTTACCCAAGTACTTTGGGAGAAGGAGGCATCCTACATACATCTGTTTTTAGCATCAGGAGCCTGGATGCTTCATACCTAAACTGCAAAGTTTCATCTCAAGTCAAATAACAGGTCAAATATTAGGTCAATGATAATTTGCAATCACAGGGGAACCCCCACAAACTCCCACTACCTCAATTCAACTACCGGCATCTGTGAATGAAAGCACTGATGTACATTTCTGGGTCATTTAAAACTCATCAGTTGACTCTTAGACTCGGAGGATTGCTAATTTGGTGTACACCTTCTATTGCTTATACTTGTCCACAAATGGAACGTTTTAATCCATTACCTGAGAGCTCTTCAGAATTGTCCTCAACTGTTTCATTATTAAATAGATAAGTTCTGTGACATAGAACAATTTAATGCAATCGGATCGATGGAGATGTGGCTCTCTGTACCTTACAGTATTCTTCAGTAAATACTTAGCTCTGGTAGTGGTAGGGGCAAAAATAGAATATTGGGGACTAGCTATGGTTATGGGAAATACTAATCATGCTGTTAACCCTGATTGCCTTGTGCTGGTTAAAGAAAAGACATTCTGCCTTAGCCGGTTTGGCTCAGTGGCTAGAGCATCGGCCTGTGAACTGAAGGGTCCCAGGTTCGATTCTGACCAAGGGCACATGCCAGGGTTTCGGGCTCGATTCCCCAGTAGGGGGCGTGCAGGAGGCAAGCAATCAGTGGTTCTCTCTTATCATTGATGTTTGTATCTCTCTATCCCTCTCCCTTCCTCTCTGAAATCAATAGAAAGGAAAGGAAAGGAAAGGAAAGGAAAGGAAAGGAAAGGAAAGGAAAGGAAAGGAAAGGAAAGGAAAGGAAAGGAAAGGAAAGGAAAGGAAAGGAAAGGAAAGGAAAGGAAAGGAAAGGAAAGGAAAGGAAAGGAAAGGAAAGGAAAGGAAAGGAAAGGAAAGGAAAGGAAAGGAAAGGAAAGGAAAGGAAAGGAAAGGAAAGGAAAGGAAAGGAAAGGAAAGGAAAGGAAAGGAAAGGAAAGGAAAGGAAAGGAAAGGAAAGGAAAGGAAAGGAAAGGAAAGGAAAGGAAAGGAAAGGAAAGGAAAGGAAAGGAAAGGAAAGGAAAGGAAAGGAAAGGAAAGGAAAGGAAAGGAAAGGAAAGGAAAGGAATATGTGATTCAACCCTGTCTCTGCTGAATTGGCTCGAGTAGTGACAGGCAGCACGGACCCACTGATTGTCCGGTTACATTAGGTCCGTTCTCAGACCCTTTTCAAGATAATTCTCCGACTGCTCCAGTTCTGATCTCTTTCTCCAAACCCACTCTCCCAGGGCCTCTGGAGTGTTTCCCCCTCACCAGGGGTCCTCAAACTACGGCCCGCGGGCCACATGCAAATACAAATATTGTATTTGTTCCCGTTTTGTTTTTTTACTTCAAAATAAGATATGTGCAGCGGAAAGATTAACAACCTTGTTTCCCAAACAATGAAGTCCCACCGCAGCCCACATTGCCTACTTCCTCATGCCTGGGAGCCCTACTTCCCCATGTAATCTCTGTCCTACCCTATATAAGCAGCTGGCTTATGGGGGGCTGCAGAGCAGATGTTTGTGGATGACCTGCTGCTCTCCCACGCTGCTGGCAGGACTGGAATAAACGCTCATATGTGATTCAGGCAGCAAGGACCCATTGATTGTCCGGTTACATTAGGTCCGTTCTTTTCAAGATAATTCTCCGACTGCTCCAGTTCTGATCTCTTTCTCCAAACCCACTCTCCCAGGGCCTCTGGAGTGTTTCCCCCTCACCAGGGGTCCTCAAACTACGGCCCGCGGGCCACATGCAAATACAAATATTGTATTTGTTCCCGTTTTGTTTTTTTACTTCAAAATAAGATATGTGCAGCGTGCATAGGAATTTGTTCATAGTTTTTTTTTAAACTATAGTCCGGCCCTCCAACGGTCTGAGGGACAGTGAACTGGCCCCCTGTTTAAAAAGTTTGAGGACCCCTGCCCCTCACTTTCAACAGGCCCAGTCAGAGTTCATTAACTCCCTCCTGAGCTACACTCTGCCCCCTTGATCTCTGTCACCTGTCTGGGAGTTGCCTTGCACTTCTTTCTCCCCAGGTGTCTACCTTATCCAATTGGACAACAAATGTCTTTGAATATTTCTGGATACAGTGGGGCCTTGACTTACGAGTTTAATTCGTTCTGTGACGGAGCTCGTAACTCAAATTACTCGTATGTCAAATCAAGAAGTAAACGAGTGAGACACGTGATGCTGGGCTGATGTTGTGGCGTTCACAGTGACGTTCGCTGCGCCTACTAGCGGTGGGGTAACTGAAGCTGGCTCGTAACCCGAATTTTAGCTCGCAACTCAAAGCAAAAAATCAGCTGTATCTCAAAAAACTCGTTAGTCGGGACACTCGTAAGTCAAGGCCCCACTGTATTTCTTTTAAGTGTAAATCAGATTCCCTTTAAGTTTCGTTTGAACAGGTTAACTACCCAGCCCACCCTCTCCCCAGCTCGGGTGATAAGAGAAGATAAGACAAAGATAAAGAAGCCTCCCCTGCGAGTGTATTTTTACAACTGATAAGAGTGATGTAAATAAAGTCATTTTAAAGTGATAAAACTTTAAAATGGAACTTCTTAAACTCCACCTTTTGTGGCCCTTTAGTTTTTTTTTTTCCAAAAGAGGTATAGAGATAAGAAATAATACCCCTTTAAGGGTTTTTGCTTAGTGGAATGATTTTGAAGGTAATACAAACTATGTTTTGAGCCTTTATTATGGGCTCCTTGTACATGTTAAATACTCATAAAATTCAATGACTCACCCTGTTTTACAAGTGAGACAGATTCAAAGAGATCCAATTGGACAACAAATGTCTTTGAATATTTCTGGGTATTTCTTTTAAGTGTAAATCAGATTCCCTTTAAGTTTCATTTGAACAGGTTAACTACCCAGCCCACCCTCTCCCCAGCTCAGGTGAAAACAGAAGACAAAGATAAAGAAGCCTCCCCTACGAGTGTATTTTTACAACTGATAAGAGTGATGTAAATAGGCAGCAAGGACCCATTGATTGTCCGGTTACATTAGGTCCGTTCTTTTCAAGATAATTCTCCGACTGCTCCAGTTCTGATCTCTTTCTCCAAACCCACTCTCCCAGGGCCTCTGGAGTGTTTCCCCCTCACCAGGGGTCCTCAAACTACGGCCCGCTACCCCTTTAAGGGTTTTTGCTTAGTGGAATGATTTTGAAGGTAATACAAACTATGTTTTGAGCCTTTATTATGGGCTCCTTGTACATGTTAAATACTCATAAAATTCAATGACTCACCCTGTTTTACAAGTGAGACAGATTCAAAGAGATTAAGCAATGTGTTGGTCATCACCCACTGTTTCTACGGTACCACAATACGATTTATAAAGTGCTATAAGGTATTGTTGCCATCATTGTACTTGCTTGGCTTGAAACAGGTTTACTAGTTTAAATGAACATAAATGACCTAGTTCAACAAGTTTGGAAGTTAGCTTTAAGAGGGGATGATACAGAGGTCTCGTTTGCATTTCTTCATTTTCCAATTTAAGTTCAATGGAACAGAGTAATTGATTTAGGAAGGATAAACGGTGTTTACAGCACTCGCCATCTCAGGGCAGAAGGGACTCTCATTAACATTTATAAAGCGGAAGGGGCCCAAGTCCATTTGCCAGAAGGAGTAATATGGAAATTCTGCCCACAGCCAGAACAATGGACATAGATCTGTCCAAACAAAGAACAGTCAAGTGAGGAAAGGCCATTGGTCCAACCCCTGGTATATTTCATGACTGTTTTTCCAGTTGCTGGTTTCCTATTCACTCCAACAAAGAAAAAGTGGAAACAAGCCTTAACGTTTTGCAAATGTGTATTATCCTGAGCAGAAGCAAACGCACTGCAAACCCTAAGTCACAGCATTCAAATCGAAACCAGGGGAGGCGGTCTCCAAGCAGACAACGATCTCCAGGATCCAACAGCAAAGCTGCCACAGAAATCTTCAAGACTAATAACCACTGTGCGCCTGTGGCCAACAGTCGAGTTTTAAAGCTAAATTTAAATGAGGCGGTTACCGGCCTGAACAAACCAACGCATGTCACACTGGGACACAGCATCGTCTGGGTTTTCCGGTTTGGCCTGGGGATCGTAAGCCAATGAGCTACACCTGGACAGCTGGGCAACAACATCCGGGTTCAGACAGAAGGTAAATTAGCCTTGAGTGTCAAGTACAAAGCTGAAACCACAGGCCCTGGATAGAGCCCCAGAGAAAACAAACGCCCAGGACACTCCTCATTTCACCACTGTGTGGGCTAAAGCTTTTCCTCCCCGTGGCTGGCTGCCGGGCTTCTGCAGTGGTGAGAACCACTTCCGTGGGCTAGGCTCCAGGTGTCAGGCCACCTAAGTTCTTTGGAAAGGATTTTGCGCACTTACCTTTAGATTCTAAAGGTGGTTCTCAACCTTCCTAATGCCGCGACCCTTTAATACAGTTCCTCATGTTGTGGTGACCCCCAATTTCATTGTTACAAATTGAACATAATTAAAGCATAGTGATTAATCACAAAAACAATATGTAATTATATATGTGTTTTCCGATGGTCTTAGGCGACCCCTTGTGAAAGGGTCGTTCGACCCCCAAAGGGTCGTTGCGACCCACAGGTTGAGAACCGCTGCTTTAGAATATGGTACTTTTTTTCTTTTTTAAACGGGTGAGCCCAAAGCGCTGACTAGCCCCTAGGCTACTGCCCTGGAGCTGCATCAACTATAATTGGTGGGCGGCTCGCGGGTTCCTCTGGCTCCAGCCATCCCCACTCGCACGCGCAGTCATCGCGCACCCACGCACCCACGCGAGCGAGCTTCTAAGCAAACAAACACATTCACAGCTGCGACTCCGGCTACCAGTTACTCAAGCACATCTTCAGAGCGTGCCGATTTTATAGAGAGACTTTGTTTTTCGACTCTTCTGAGAAACTACCAGTGCTGTGTGCCAGCAGCGAGTTTGCATTATGGAGCACGTGACTTCTCGGTTATTTTTATCCGCTTTCCAGGCAGGTAGTCAGCCTCCGGGTGCCAACATCCAGCCCAGACCCCGCCCCGCGGGCGGTTAAACTTGAACGACTCCAGGAAGTCCCTGGGGGGACCCTCCAGTTTCACGGGGAACCGTGGAGGGTGTGTGTGTCAGTCTGAGGGGAGGGAGGCGGGACTGGGGCTGGCGGGACAATTTGCACAGGCCCCGGTCTGCACGCGTGGGGCCTCCGCGGGCGCCAGGAACACGTGCACGCACACAGCCAGGAAAACAAAACCCAGCCCGGGGATTGGGGGGACGCACCGCCGCCTCCCGGGAGCCCACTGCCCGGTGCCCAGGCGGTGCTGCTTCTCCTGCCCGGGTTCTCCTGCCAGATGCCCCTCCCCAGCCAGCCGGCAACCTGGCTCTTAGCGGTTTCCACGCCCGGATCCCACCCCGGGGGCCCCGCACCTGTGCGCCGGAAGAAGCAGCTCTAGGAGCTGCAGGGCCCGCTGTTTTGTTGTTGTTTTTCCTCCTGAAATCCTGTGTCACCTTCCGATCCGCAATTTTTTCCCGTGGCCCGCACCCGACGGGTCCAAGTTACTCCCCCTACCCCCTCCCCAAGCCCTCGGCTCCCCCGGCCTCGCCCGC